TTGCGAGTGATGGTCAATGTTTCATGCCATGGCTTACTCGAAAACGGAGAACCGAAGGTCATGCTTTGCGGGCAACAGTTTTACAGTCAATAATGGTAGTTGTACAAATTATGAGAATTAGTGGGAGAAATGTTAGCAACAGCAAAAGCTAATTATGTAATAAGTCTATTATAACCATTCTGTGGTGTTTGAATGGACTAATGATACCATTGTACTGGTTGAATGCTTGATTTCGAATTCTAAATACAATACATTCGTTGGTGCCTGTGTCTTCTTAATTCAATTGCGTTAATACTGGAATTCCTAATTCATACGACAATTAGAATACTGTATTGGCGTCGCGATGGAGCCTGCAATGGAAAAGTTGGATATTCATTCAACTCCTGAAGCTTTTGAGGATTATTTGGAAAGGTTCGAAATTTGGAGCATGACCAAAGAAGATGATGAGGATGTTAATATTGTGGCACACTTCCTCACATTCATTGGGAGAGAAGCGTACAGCTTATTAAAAACTTTAGTATATCCAGAAAAACCTATCTCACTCCCTTATGCAACTCTTAAAGAGCTATTATTAAGTCATGTAAAATCCACCAGTTTTGAATGCCGTGAAAGGGCGAAGTTTCATAAGATGATTCGTCAAAATGACCAAAAGGCTCGGGAATTCATCCTTGAATTACAGAAACAAGCTGCCAAGTGTAATTTCGGTGATCAACTTCATGTGCAACTGAGAGATCGATTAATTGCAGGAATTAACATACCGAGTTTGGAAAGAGAGCTGTTAAAAATGCCAAACTGTTCCTTTCAAGATGCTAGGACTGCGTGTATTAACTACGAAGCAGTGAATAAACTTGATACCCAGTCGATGAAGATTTCTGTTACTTTGCTTAGTCGTCGTGATGAACTACAATCTCAGGGTCAATCAAATTTGCGTTCATTTAACAGTGATTCCTATTCTCGTGTAAATACGAAAGGTGTTCCAACGAGGAATTACAAAGTAAATCACAAAGGTGAGATGAAGTTTGGTAAATGTTTATCATGTGGAAAGTTTCATGCTCGCAATCCATGTGTATTTCGTAATGCTAAATGTTTTAAATGTGGTAAGGTAGGACACATTCAGTCAGTATGCAATGCTACTGTCCATTTTGCTTCAAGCTGTACTAAATCTTGTAATTTAAATTTAAATAATTCGGATGTTTCAAATGATCATTTATCTTTATCAACGATTTCAAAAGACAGTGCAGAGTCATATGACAGTTCCGAGTTAGATGAAATCCAGAATTCTTGTGAGACAACAGTTCCTAATCAACCGATTTATCAGAATTCTCATGCTATTGTACCAGGTATGACTTTTCCTAATGATTCACATGTTTCTAATGAAATTACTTGCAATATTGAGGAAAATATGTTAAATGAACCTAATCATGATCGGAAACCTGATGTGGTTTGGATAGATGCTGATTTTTCTAACGACCCTACGCTCTGCAATGACAGTCCTAATGAATTTCATGAGAATATTTCAGAAGAATCAAATCCTAATGTCGTATCATATATTACCTCTCCTCATAATGCATTTGATCCTTGTGAAAAACCTGCTCAACGCGAAGCACGAGTACTAAGTGACCTCGAGTTTTATTACATTTCGGATGATTTCATATCAACTGCTGTTTACCCTTATCACAAAAACAGTTCTAGTGTTTACTCTAAACAATGTGAGAAATATGTTTTAAATGAAGCCACATTATTCATAACTTGAGGATATAAAGATTCGTGGGGGAGGATAGGATTGAAAAATCTATGGTTCAAATTCTAGATATTAATGATTTCAGTACAAAACCGATATGCTGATTGTATACAATTCCAGGTGAGTCTGTTCCGATTTCGTTTGTTAATTCCAATACTAATGAGCACTTTCTAGATACTACAAAGTCTTTATCTTACACAATGTCGGACAGACTCAGGATGAACTTAACGAGAAGACGTACAACCGATTACAAACACTTATACTTCTATTTAAGCTGTGGCGGATGTGGTGTTTGAATGGACTAATGATACCATTGTACTGGTTGAATGCTTGATTTCGAATTCTAAATACAATACATTCGTTGGTGCCTGTGTCTTCTTAATTCAATTGCGTTAATACTGGAATTCCTAATTCATACGACAATTAGAATACTATACATTCCCACAGATAACTGTCTCACACCTGATGTGGCTGTCCAAGTCTTCCAGTTTCTCAATGGTGGTCTAGCCTAGATCAATTCATAAATTCAACTGTTAAATCAACAATACTGTCCAATAACACATTCTGAGTATTTCTCTCATTATGATGACAGCTTCCAGTTTCTTAAAACTGCTCCTTGGCTCAATGAGTGTGAGAACAGTAGATTGATATGTATTAACCAGACCTTTACTGGTACTAGTGTTTGTTTTCTCTTTGAGCCTTTGTGTATCGGTTCCAAGCATGTTGGAACTCCCTATGTGTAGTGTTGTTGCTGGCTCGTTAGAACTCGGTTCAAGAGTATTTATCCTAATTTCACAACTCAAAGAATGTGATCGAATGTGATCTCAGGTTGACTATAACTCTTAAGGCCCATTCCCCAGACACATTAGACTGCGGCACGTAAGATCACTTGCAGTAAGAAATCTTAGCGAAATCCATATCAAATTGAGGGAAGACTGTTCACTATATCTTCTTTAATTTACCCTTTAGAGCTGGTGCATCCAGCTGCTTGAAATCCTAACTTCTGTCGCCTTCGGTAAGTTCTATTTCAATCTCACAAACACGGAGGCCTATGACGGCGTAATCACTTTTCTTAGAAGAGCCAGGATCGACAAGTTATCGGCCAAGGGCACTTTGATGTAATCATGACGTAACAACGCCTGATCGTGTCATATAACATCAACAACTCTGCATCCGAGATTAATCCTGTTTTTTTAAATGAATCGAAAACCCGAGCTCCGGCAAGGTTGTCGTCTCCTTTGTATGTGTTTGGCGAAGATGACTTCGTGAAAGCTGAAGTCTCCTAGGGTTAACATGTATGCTATGGAAGAAAGGAACTAGCTAAGTCAGCATTCGATTGCCTTACGGAGCGTCAACAGTAATGTTTCTGGACACTTTTCTGTGTAAAGCGATCTCTTCATATGAGTTTGAAAATTTTTTAGCAAACTCTTGTGTATACACTTGGTGTGCTAGCGGGCAGGATTTCAGTATGGGGAAGTATCATATTCCCGTTTCTGTTTTCCTGTCACTATGAAACAAAGGCACGCCAAATTTGGCCAGCTCCTGGTCCTTGACTTGGGAAGACACACAGGTTTTGGTAGTTTCTATCGGAACAAATTGAGTTGAATCACTTCATGTTTCTCGTCCATTAAATTTGACAAATGTACGACGTTTGTACATTAGAAGTTGATGCTTTCTGTTTACAACGGGTGTATATCCTTGTTATCTCTGTGTAAATGAGCTCTGTTAATTGGAAATCCAGAATTCGCGTATGGTGAGAAAAAACTACACGAGTATTTACTTGAGGTATTGCTACATGCTCTAGTACATGGAGAATATTTGAATAATCCGAAGTATTTATCCCTGACCTTATAAGCATTTGGTAAATTGTTCAACGTACAGTTATCTTTAGTCTAACGTAGAAATTGTTCAGTTTGACGGATTCACCTGGGATTCAGTGATACTCCACTACAGGTGGTCCCTTCTCTTCCCATATATTTCGTTCTTGTAAGTTCGCGAACAGAATAAAATACTCCAACTCATTCCTGTGTATAAAAGAAACATAACGTGGCCCGTATACATGTGGACCCGAGATGGTAACTAACGTCTGTTGACACCAAGTGCCCCGAGAATGGCACCCGTTACCCCAGAATAAAGATGTCACACTCAGAAACTGAGTTCTATATCACCTAACTCTCAACAATCAAATGAAGTACTCGATATGTGACAACATCATTCAGCTTCAAGGACTGTTTCACAAATTCCCATCATTTAATATCATAGTATCCAACCTCAAGATCCAGGTGTTCCGCAATTTCTCTCGTAGTACTTGTTTCTTATGCTAAAGAGCGTTTCCTGGGATTCCTGCGATACAGTTCTGATAAGGCTGCTCTCCAAATATAATATATACTAGAACATTTTCAAATCTTCAGGTCTATGCAAGAAACTGGACAGTAAAAACATCTTTTACATCGTCAGCAAGAGCAAAACTCACACAGAGATTTAAGTGATTTCGACACTTAGCATTCCTATCGTCGAGTGATCCGTTAATAGTTCCATTATGATAGGTCTGGGCTTTCTAGTTAAGTCTTATCACAGCATAATGTCGTGTTTACTTATGAAAACTCCTCCATGAATATATTTATACGACAATATAAACCATGAATAGCTCGCCTGGTGACACGAACTGATACGTTGGAAGTACAGGAGACCGAGAAGACATGTGATCACGATGCTATACTGTATACCTTAAAGGGAATCGTCCCAGAATAGAGCTCGAGATAACATGCACAAAATACTTGCTAGTGTTTTTATGATTGAAATTGATAAATTTTTGACTTTATCGATGAGAGCAATAACGATGACATCTGATATTTCCGAGATACTCTTCGAAATTTCTTACAGCTTTAAGAGTACTGAGAGGACTACTCCAGGTACTTTTCTACGATTGCTCTTACTATTAACAAACGTAGTCATCCAAGCTTTTATGGAGCTAAAATAGAAGTTCCATACCTCCGTCATTGATAAAGTCCTTCTCGAATTCGGACACATATGAATAAACACCTTATTATTTCCGTCCAACAAAATTTCAAGTTCGAATCTTTAATAAAGGTCTCAAGTATGGTTTCCAACTTAGGTTTCCGATGAAGCGGAGACAAGATTGGAGTAAATCAACATTTCGAAAAAATTATGCTATTTATCTTAAATCTCCAAGGCACTTATAGGTGGATGAGAGTGATAATTTGAGGTAGCACATAGAGTTGACCTACTTGTTTAAGTCGATTAGTGACCAATCAAGGCGCGTACGTATTTTCGCCCTTAGGTTGTTCATTATCTTTGAGAATGTTACCATCAGCTAAAGGTAGGTGTATAATCAATTGCTTAGAGTGGTGATTTTCATATGACTAACGTGGCGTTCTTTCTCTCACATCAGCCAGAGAATGGCAACAACTTCAGTCGAAGAAGTTCTCGGAAAAACGCAAATTCGGCTTCGTCGAAACTCAAAAAGATGAAATGCCACCAGAGCATGTTCGTAAGATCATCAGAGACCACGGCGACATGACCAATAGAAAGTTTAGGCATGACAAGCGTGTGTATCTCGGTGCATTGAAGTATATGCCACATGCAGTGTTGAAGTTGCTAGAAAATATGCCTATGCCCTGGGAACAAATCAGAGATGTCAAGGTACTGTACCATATCACCGGGGCTATTACATTTGTTAACGAAATACCTTGGGTTGTTGAACCAATCTATGCTGCTCAGTGGGGTAGTATGTGGATCATGATGCGTCGTGAAAAAAGGGATCGTCGTCATTTCAAACGCATGAGATTCCCACCTTTCGATGACGAAGAGCCTCCACTTGATTATGCCGATAACATACTTGATGTAGAACCTCTAGAGCCAATACAATTGGAGTTAGATCCGGAAGAAGATGCTACCATTATTGAATGGTTTTACGAAAGAAATCCCCTGGTAGAATCAAAGTAAGTCTTTATTCCTCATAATTTGTATTGTGAGGTCCAGGCTTGTGAACATGTACCTTTTCCATATCTGACGTGTATGTTCAGACTGACTTCAGCACTACTTTGTGTCACTTATGGTCGATGACTGCTAATACTAGTGTTTAGATGTTGGTCCTGATACTACTCACCATTAAACAAGTTAGTATACCTTTAAGAAGTATTTAGGGTATATACCATCTGCTCATGCCCATGTTCAAAACTCTAGGGACTTAAAGCAACATGAGGATACACATGTGCATTGCTAATGATCAGATTTTAAATATCAAACTCATGAAGTGCTTATCAGTGACCTGTCACTCAGTGTTTAGTAGAATAACAGCGGCATAAATTTTGTGTATTAAGTAAATGAAAGTAGAGTAGTTATAGTTTCGTCTTGGCTTAGACGCTGGGTTTACTATATATGTTGGTTTTTGATTCTGTAGTTTTACAGCTTATTGACTTACTGCAACTCATGAAATCAACCGAACACCTGATACAGTTAAATCCCAAGAAGGTAAAAATAGTACATGTAACTGAGACACTCCAGGCCAAGTTCATAATCACCTGTTCTAATCATTTTTAAGGAACTCGAAGTCTCGTTCATGCACTGGCTCTGAATAACGTCCTAACTTAGAAACCGAATCACTAAAAGTGGGTTGCCGTTAGATGTGCTTAATATAATTCGCCTATTTCAACCATTTCAAACTTACGGAGCCAGATGATTGTGCAGTGTGATGTTTTGAACTTGTTTTTAACTATATGTTCGTAGGTTCATATACACCTATATCTGATCGTCGTTGGCGTAACTGTTTGGTTATACAGATTAGTAGTTAACAATTAAATCGTAGTGAACACCAAATTCTTAGTTCTCGTCCTAGTTTCCTAGTAGATAAGTCATACTAATACATCATGTTTTATATAATTTCCCACTACAAAAATGTTTTTCAGTATCTTAAGAGGTCAGATCCACCGTGGCGTACGTGTAATTCTTGGAGTATTGCGGCAATTAAAAATAAACCAAACAAACCAACGAAGTGATCAGTAGATGAAAAGTCATAGAACACCTAAAAAACGAACATCGACATTTGTAATTGCTTAATTGAAAAGTAAAAGAAAACTAGTGTTTTCAACTCACCAAAACAATCATCCTTATTTGCTAACTCTGCGACGAGGAAACAATTAGTACTTTTGACCTTCAATGTGATTGGTCACTGAACTTGGACAGACGAACACTTCCTGACTATTTACTGTGATTCCCTTCTATTGTAAATTTATACTCTGAACTTACTGAGTGTAGACTGCTTATGATTGTGTTGGATTAACTACTGCCTAGCATGTACTCTAGTCCCACTTCTGACTGTAAATCGTGCAATTGATATATTGATGCGGTTTGTTTAATCCGCCAATCGATTATCTTGTGGTAGTAAAATCTATCATCTGTTGTATAATAGTTGTGCACGGTGAAAAACAGAATATTTTTATTCTTTTGTTATAACACTTGTGGCACCTAAATGCTTTAAAATGAACTTTGTAAAAGCTGTAAACGCTCAGCTGCGTAAAAGAATTCCTTAAATAACGGTGATAATAGGTTTATTCAATGTTGTATGTTTAGTACAGTATGGGATTCTTAGGACGAGTCAAACATGTACATTAATGTATACCGGAGTAAAACTGGTTGAGAAATTGACATCGATCGGTATATCACTTTCCTGATATCTACACATCTTTTTGAATACCGATATGGATAACATGACAGTTTACTTCTGTTGTATCGTTTTCTTTCGTAGGTATGTCAACGGCATCACTTACCGACGTTGGAATCTACCTCTGAACATAATGTCCAACCTTTATCGTCTGGCCAACTCTTTGTTGACTGACCTTGTCGATGACAATTACTTTTATTTGTTTGACCTCAAGTCATTCTTTACGGCTAAGGCTCTGAACGTCGCTCTTCCTGGAGGTCCGAAGTTTGAACCCTTGGTCAAAGACAAAACTTTAGAGTAATGTGTTTTTTTACTAATGTTTTGATTTATAGGGATGAAGATTGGAATGAATTTAATGATATCAACAAGATCATCATTCGTCAACCTATTCGTACTGAATATCGAATAGCGTTCCCCTATCTTTATAATAGTTATCCATTTCAAGTGCATTTATCATGGTATCACACTCCTAATGTACTTTTCATTAAAACCGAAGATCCTGATCTCCCAGCTTTTTACTTTGATCCTCTAATCAACCCCATATCTCAGAGACAAGGTGTAAAGGTAAATCTATCCCTTTTTTCGTTACATTCTTTTACAGGCTCCAGAGTTACAGCCAGATGACGATGAAACGTATGAACTTCCTGAAGGGTTCCAGCCGTTTCTTGCCGAAACTCCTCTGTACAGTGACAACACAGCTAACGGCATCGCTCTTTTGTGGGCTCCAAGGCCATTTTGCTTAAGATCAGGGTCTACAAGACGGGCTATTGATATTCCTTTAGTCAAAGCTTGGTACAGAGAGCATTGTCCTTCTGGTATGCCTGTGAAAGTAAGTTTGCTTTACCACTCAATCATTCTTCCCACAGGTTCGTGTTTCTTACCAAAAGCTGCTGAAGTATTTTGTTCTTAATGCCCTACATCATCGTCGACCAAAGCCTCAGAAGAAACGTTACTTGTTTCGTTCCTTCAAGGCTACTAAGTTCTTCCAAATTACTAGTTTGGATTGGGTAGAGGTTGGACTACAAGTGTGCCGTCAAGGATACAACATGCTTAACCTTCTTATTCATAGAAAAAATCTTAATTATTTGCATTTGGACTATAACTTCAACTTGAAACCAGTAAAAACCTTAACTACCAAAGAAAGGAAGAAATCACGGTTCGGCAATGCTTTTCATCTTTGTCGGGAGATACTTCGTTTGACGAAACTCATCGTAGATAGCCATGTTCAGTATCGCTTGGGAAATGTCGATGCTTTCCAGGTAACTTTATATTGTTTCATTGATTAGTATTGGGGTTTTTTGTAAGCTTAGTACTTATGGGTAGTATTGCTTTTGTGATGAAAACGCAGGGGTCCGGAATGTGGTCATAATGTGGACTACATAGTACAAAAATCTTTGGCTGTAGCTTTCAGCATCGACTTTTTGTGCTAGGACATTGCCAAAACTGATATGCGTTCCTTTCACTGTTTGAAAACTGTTATGGCTGGTAATCTTTGTCAGTAATAGCTTTCCTTAATTTTCAGTTGGCAGATGGTCTTCAATACATTTTCTCACACGTTGGACAGTTAACTGGAATGTACCGTTATAAATACAAACTCATGCGTCAAATTCGGATGTGCAAGGATTTGAAACACGTAATTTACTACCGTTTCAACACTGGACCGGTGGGTAAAGGTCCGGGTGTCGGGTTCTGGGCACCGGGATGGAGAGTATGGTTGTTTTTCATGCGCGGCATAACCCCATTACTGGAGCGTTGGTTAGGAAATCTCTTATCACGCCAATTTGAGGGAAGACATTCCAAAGGTGTTGCCAAAACTGTCACCAAACAACGAGTTGAGTCTCATTATGACTTGGAACTGCGCGCCGCCGTTATGCATGACATACTGGATATGATGCCCGAAGGTATCAAACAAAACAAAGCTAGGACTATTCTACAACATTTAGGCGAAGCATGGCGTTGTTGGAAAGCTAACATTCCATGGAAAGTAAGTAGTCGATGTTTCATTCAGTTTTAATAATCTAAGTTTCCATTTTCACTCCTTTAACATAAATTAGATTCATTAGGATAGCTATTCACCGATTTCTTTGTAGCTATCATTGTACTTTTCACGTTTTTCCTCATATCGATGTGTGTCCATGAAGAAGTTTCTAAGATTACTGATCCGAATTAACGTTATCGGTAAAGTATTGGAAGATCCTTTTAACCGGGTCATCAGTTTAGGCTCTTACCAAGCCATCCTAACAATTTAATATCATGCAGTGTAATGCCAGCTTAAAGACTTGCATGATTTATGAGCTGTGAGCTTTTACATTCCTATCATAGTATGCGATTTTCAGAATTTCCGTAATACATATACCTTTGCCGTCTAAGCTTGTACCAAAAATTGGTTATCAAATTTTAATGACAATGTACTTCAACCCCACTACATCTGTTCCATGCAGCAGAACGAGTCCCGGGATACGAAGTATTTCAATGTAACAGTTGATTATTTTTACGGAATCCATATGAAGTACATTTTAGCCTCGTTAAGATTGAGTTCCCTGCTTTGTAATATTTTGAATAATCAGACAGTAACATTCTGCCTGTTTTCCTCCATTCGTTCAGGTACCAAATATGCCAATCCCTATTGAAAATATGATTTTACGTTACGTTAAAGCCAAAGCTGACTGGTGGACCAATACAGCTCATTACAATCGGGAACGCATTCGGCGAGGTGCAACTGTTGATAAAACTGTTTGTAAAAAGAATCTGGGTCGCTTAACTCGACTGTATCTTAAAGCGGAACAGGAGCGACAACATAATTATCTTAAGGTATGTTTCGTTATCACCCAGTACTTGAGTTGTTCCAATGTTAATTAACAAGAAAATGTTAAAAATTTTGATATTAAGCAATTATTAAGATAAATAAATGAATACTTTTATTTGAGTTATTTGCGTTTAACGTATCACTTATGCGTAGACGTTTGAAAACGAAGTTATTTGTTAAGTTCTCACTTTTCCAACCATACTATTCATGCATACGTTTTGTCTTTTTTTTCAGGATGGTCCCTACGTAACTGCAGAGGAGGCTGTCGCCATCTACACAACAACTGTACATTGGTTAGAAAGTAGGCGTTTTTCACCAATTCCTTTCCCACCTCTAAGTTACAAGCATGATACGAAGTTGCTGATTCTCGCACTTGAACGTCTCCGAGAATCTTACAGTGTCAAAAACAGGTTAAATCAATCTCAACGAGAGGAACTTGGTTTGATTGAGCAAGCTTATGATAATCCACACGAAGCCCTAAGTCGCATAAAGCGACATTTACTTACTCAAAGGGCTTTCAAAGAAGTTGGAATTGAATTCATGGATCTTTACAGTCATTTAGTGCCTGTCTATGATGTTGAGCCCTTGGAGAAGATAACAGATGCTTATTTGGATCAGTATTTGTGGTATGAAGCCGATAAACGTCGCCTGTTTCCTCCATGGATCAAACCAGCTGACTTGGAGCCTCCACCTTTACTTGTGTACAAGTGGTGCCAGGGTATTAACAACCTAAAAGTAAGTTTGACATCACTCTGAGTTGTTAGTTCTACAGCAATAGCTTATTTATAAGTACTCTTTTATTTTTTTTTCTAAACTAGTCAATAATTATGAAGTAATATGAACAGTGTAAAAACATCTTCAGTGAAATGTTATCTACAATCACAGCGCACAAAGTTACGTTAAAATACAGGTAGCTTTACAACGGAATTCATAGCTTCAACGATGTAGACATTTCGAGGGGATTTTAGCTCCCTCTGAATTCTATATAGCTAGTCTATTTAAGTTATTGTATGTTTTAGTATTTCCCTCAAAGTTTTTTTCGATTTTAATGTAACATTTTTCCGTGATTCGCAGGATGTTTGGGAGACTGGTGAGGGTGAATGTAACGTTTTGTTGGAAACGAAATTTGAAAAAGTTTATGAGAAAATTGACCTTACATTGCTCAATCGTCTCCTGAGATTAATTGTCGATCACAATATTGCAGACTATATGACTGCTAAAAATAACGTTGTTATAAATTACAAAGATATGAATCATACAAACAGTTACGGAATCATCCGCGGTCTGCAGTTTTCATCATTTATTACGCAGTATTATGGCCTTGTACTGGACTTGCTAGTTTTGGGTCTCGAGAGAGCAGCTGAGATGTGCGGCCCTCCGCAAATGCCAAATGACTTTCTTCAGTTCCAGGTAAGATGGCATTATTGCTTTATACTTACATTTAGTAGAAGTGTATGAAACCAACAAACTTAGAAATGTTTTTCGTCTGTTACTTTTTACAGGATACTGCCACAGAAATCTCTCATCCTATTCGACTGTATTGTCGGTATGTTGACCGTTTTTGGATGTTCTTCCGTTTCTCAGCGGAGGACGCTCGCGATCTCATTCAGCGTTATCTAACAGAGCACCCTGATCCAAATAACGAAAATATTGTGGGTTACAACAATAAAAAGTGTTGGCCACGTGATAGTAGGATGCGCTTAATGAAACATGATGTCAATCTTGGTCGTGCTGTTTTTTGGGATATCAAAAACCGTTTACCGAGATCTGTTACAACGATTGATTGGGATAGCAGTTTCGTCTCCGTTTACAGCAAAGATAACCCTAATTTACTGTTCGCAATGTGTGGGTTTGAATGTCGTATTCTACCATCTTGCCGTTCACCTGGTCAAGCTGCAGATGCCAATCTTCCAAGTGGCGTATGGCATCTACAAAACGAGGTATTCCTTTTTATTAGTCGAAAGTGGATTTTTCCTACTCTTGATACGTTTACTGGTTCTTTGTTCATTTCATGAACTAAAATCTAAACCTTCTTCCTTAGGTAACCAAAGAGCGTACTGCACAATGTTTCCTTCGAGTGGATGATGAATCAATGCAACGATTCCATAACAGAGTCAGACAAATTTTAATGGCCTCCGGATCGACAACTTTCACCAAAATAGTGAACAAATGGAATACGGCTTTAATTGGTTTAATGACTTATTATCGCGAGGCAGCAGTAAGCACTGTCGCATTATTGGATCTGTTGGTGAAATGCGAGAACAAAATACAAACACGTATCAAAATTGGATTAAACTCAAAAATGCCTGCTCGTTTCCCTCCAGTAGTCTTTTACACACCGAAAGTAAGTTTAAAAAATTTCCGCGTCTTTTGAAAACAAATCATAAATCCTTGAAAGAATGAAATACTTGTTTCTTTATGTGCTTTAATAAAAAGATACACTATTTCTGTTTCTTTAGGAACTTGGTGGTTTAGGTATGCTCAGTATGGGTCACGTTCTTATTCCACAGTCTGATTTACGCTGGTCAAAACAAACTGACGTTGGTATTACTCACTTTCGTTCAGGCATGAGTCATGATGAGGACCAGGTTATTCCAAATTTGTTCTCTTACATCTTATCATGGGAGACGGAGTTTCGCGATTCCCAGAGTGTTTGGGCTGAATATGCGTTAAAAAGACAAGAAGCAAATGCTCAAAATAGGTAAGTGTTTGAAATCTAAGTTGTGTTTAAGAGGGCCTAGCAATTATCTCACGAAAATATATCTCTTTGTATTCACAAGCCTGTCCTAGCATATCAGACAGAAGTTGCGATCTAATTCGTTAATGTAAACATAAGTTCAATAATTTCTACTTCACAAACTTTGCTGTGTACAACATGAAAAAAAACTCGTCTGTACTCTTTCTCGGAGTCATAAAGAAGTTAAAAAAAGAAATTGGTCAATTAACCTTTGTCTTGGTTAAAACTGAAGTAAAAGTTAGTTGTAAATGTATTTATGGTGAATTGTCAATATAAATATATCAAAGTTTTCGAAATGTCTTCTGACTGAAAACTCAACAAACGTAGGGCTTTTTTGTGTTACTTCTTTCACCGAACATTAGGAAAACTATTTTCAATACAAATAATCGATATCGTTTAAATGGTTTCAAGCAATCGTTCCTATTCAAATCAAGTGCTGATTTCTTTGTTCTGTCTCTGTCGAATTAGGGATTTCCAGATTTCTTAAATTTTGTTTGTATAACTGATTTTCAGACGTTTAACGTTGGAAGATCTCGAAGACAGTTGGGATCGTGGTATTCCCCGGATTAATACTCTCTTCCAAAAAGACAGACATACACTGGCTTACGATAAGGGGTGGCGTGTACGGACTGAGTTCAAACAATATCAAGTTCTTAAGCAAAATCCATTTTGGTGGACGCATCAAAGACACGATGGAAAGTTATGGAATTTGAACAACTATCGTACGGATATGATCCAGGCTCTAGGTGGCGTTGAAGGTATTTTGGAGCACACCTTGTTTAAAGGAACTTATTTCCCTACATGGGAAGGTCTTTTCTGGTAAGTTCCAGCTACTCTAATATATAGTTTGATTGGTGTATGTAACTTATTTTTCCCAATATCACATCACTATCTTCATACTCAAAGAGTACGTTTTACCTAAACCTTTGTTTTATTCAAATTTCTAAATCAAGATTATTATGTGAAATAAACTCAATAAACTACCCATTGAATTATAGCTAGAGAATACGTATATTAATCGATCCACTCATCTTTTGTGGCACTTCAGTATATGACTTCTATAATTTCAGGGAGAAAGCCAGTGGTTTTGAAGAATCAATGAAGTACAAGAAGTTGACTAACGCTCAGCGATCTGGGTTGAATCAAATACCTAATCGACGCTTTACATTATGGTGGTCTCCAACTATCAATCGCGCTAATGTAAGTTTGCCGTAAATAACCAATACTGGTTTTAAGACCACTCATTTCGTTTTATCCCGTCTAGTAGTGAATACGTACATCCAAGTTTTAATGCTTATCATAGTTTAAATACATTAATAAATCTTCATTAGTCCATATAATATATATATATATATATATATATATATATATATATATATATATATATATATACAGTTTTTGTAATTTGCATTGATCTAAGGGAATCTAACTTAGGACTTCATCAAATTATTTGTGCTATGACACATAACTACTCATTATTTTTAACGTTTTATTAATTTTCCACTCACCTTGATGCTATGATCTTTACTGTAGGTCTATGTTGGTTTCCAAGTACAACTTGATCTAACTGGTATTTTTATGCACGGCAAAATTCCAACTCTGAAGATCTCACTCATCCAGATATTCCGAGCTCACTTGTGGCAAAAAATTCATGAATCTGTAGTTATGGACATTTGTCAGGTGTTTGATCAGGAACTTGACGCTTTGGAAATTGAAACTGTCCAAAAGGAAACAATCCATCCTCGAAAGTCGTATAAAATGAATTCCAGCTGTGCAGATATTCTTTTATTTGCCTCCTACAAATGGCCTGTATCTAGGCCAAGTCTGTTGGCTGACTCAAAGTAAGCTAGTGGTTCTTCAATATACAACATTGTAGTTTGATATATGTAATATACCCACCCGTACATAGACAGATATATATGGTTCATGATCTGGTCACTATTTGTACTCAAGATAAAGGTGCCAAAAAGTAACAATACTTTCCATCTGTTGTTGAAGCATCATTTGAGATCATTATTCCGTTTATTAGCTGAGTTTATTATATTCACTGTGCTAAAAGATACACTAATTTTACTTCAAAAGTCAATATGTAATGTATATAGTGTGTAAAATCTTGTTCTAGATATGAATAACAAGACCTGTTAAAAAGGTACTATTTCATACTGCCAGGATTTATTACTGAGGTATATAATGTCGAAGATTGTGTTAAATGTATACTTTCAGTTATCTTTGTGATATGACTTGATGTTTGATATTAATAAAAATGTACTTGTGAATTTGTAATTGTGTTTAGTAACATGAAGTCGGACGGGGCTCGAATTATCCAAACGACATATATCCAATGCTTGCAATGTAACTTCATCCACTCAGAAAACATACAAGTATGTACGAATTAACATCAGAACTAAGAGTAAGACAGACAGTTGGAGATTTTGTTTTGTACCAGAAGTAAATTAAAAACGCCATCCTAACGCGGCGTTTTTATACTGACTTTGGACTGATTAGTAGTCCGACTTTGAACAAACTAACAGTCGAAATAACCACTGAGTTTTTTATTAACTTATCATAGATAACCAATTTATTAATGTCCTGATATGAAAACTATCACAAGCAACATGATAATCAGTGAATTATTTATATTCCATACCCAAATATTATGATTAGAAAAGTATTATACAGAATATGCTTATCCCAGCCTTACGTCACAAACGAGGACAAATAAAGTTGTTCCGATATTCGAATTAATATACCAGGTGTTAATAAAGATTAAGACACAATATGACATTCTATTCCAATGTTATTTATATTTTCGAAAGTAACCTAGTTTTCAAATCAGAAGATTCCTTACATCGAAAACGTCTCAGTTCTTTCTTTTACCTACCTTTACAGAGACCTTATGGATGGAACTACCACTCAGAAGTTTTGGATCGATATTCAGCTCAGATGGGGTGATTATGATTCCCACGATATTGAGCGTTACGCCAGAGCAAAATTTCTGGATTATACCACTGATAACATGTCCATATACCCTTCTCCAACTGGTGTTATGATTGCGATTGATCTCGCTTACAATCTGCATAGGTGAGCTTAGCTTGACATAACTACTTTAGCTGTTTTTTATAAGCTTAATGTTTCTTCAAAAATCATGGTTACTGCTATTATTGTTTCGCTTGATTGGTTAAAAAAAGGTAATCTACTTATTTACCATTGCTTCCTGTTTAAACGGGTTTTCAAAATTTGAAACATTCTCAGAAACTCAGCTTTCAGTTGATATTATTACTTATACTTTACATTTCTCAAAATTGGTTGCAATTATATTGATCTTGTATGCATTAATTACAGAAAAACTAGTGTAAGACATTAGGCAGGAGGAATGTATGTATCGACATAAGTATATTTGGAAATAGTTGTTACATTTTCCTCTGATTCACTTATCATATCTTTCTGAAATATGTAAACTAACGGAAGTAATGTATCAGTTAATTATGTCAGACTGGTACTTTTCTTATGTGCTACGCTTGTAACATGTCACTTGTTGTAAGCTAAGTTTTTACACGGTTGACTAATTAGATTCTAATAAATTAATAGAGAATTTATTCAACATCCTATAAATTGATTGAAAATTTTGATTTTGTAAGTCTTATTGTAAATATAGTTCACTTTTGGGTAAACATGAATTGTTTTCTCAATCAAATAATAGTAGTTGTTCATCTTAATAACTTTATGTCTCTAAATGTCTTCCTTATCATTTAATTACTCTCATTTAGTGCATATGGAAATTGGTTCCCTGGCTGTAAACCACTCATACAACAAGCTATGGTAAAAATAATGAAGGCCAATCCTGCTCTATACGTGTTACGTGAACGCATTCGTAAAGCATTACAGTTGTATTCTAGCGAACCTACTGAACCTTATTTGAGTTCACAAAACTATAACGAATTGTTTTCCAACCAAATTATATGGTTCGTTGATGATACAAATGTATATCGCGTCACTATACATAAAGTGAGTTGTAGTTGAGTCTCTGTTTTTCACATACTGCGATTCCCGTTTTTATTTAATTAAAACAAGCTTCCGGTTTTATTTCTTCTATAAGATATTTTTTGAAAAGAATTTAAGTATGTTGTCAAAAAATCATAATTGATGTGCAGTCGTTATTATATTCAGTGTAAGCTTTTTCAGGCATTATGACTTCTGGATAATTAATAATAATAAATAAATAACAATAGAAAAATTGTTTACGCGCTTGGTTCTTGCTTCACCATTATATTTGACGTCGTCAATGCATAGAGGTCTATTTGTATTCCATATCTACAAATCTTTCGAATATGTAATTGATCAGTTTTAGTTTGCAAACTGCTACGATGGATGTCATATTATTGTCGAGGACTCGAAGATTTATTTGCCAACTTTTCAATTATAAAATTGTTTCTTAACTCAATATAGTTCTTATGTGATTTTTTGTGACTATTCATCAACATGAGATACTAGTTTTATCATGCTTTATTAGATTTTAAGATTACTGATAAACTCAATAATAAAAAGCGTAGAATTTAAGCTATTATTGTCTTTCGTTTTTTAAATAATGTATTTTTCAGACTTTCGAAGGCAATCTTACGACTAAACCTATCAATGGTGCTATATTCATTTTCAATCCACGCACAGGGCAGCTTTTCTTAAAGATAATCCACACTTCAGTTTGGGCAGGACAAAAACGTTTAGGTCAGTTGGCCAAATGGAAAACAGCAGAAGAAGTTGCTGCACTCATCCGTTCCTTGCCAGTTGAAGAACAACCGAAACAAATCATTGTTACTCGCAAAGGAATGTTGGATCCTCTGGAAGTACATCTTCTTGATTTCCCTAACATTGTTATAAAGGTATAGTTCGAGTATACAAAAACTTATCAATATTTTAAACTCATAAGATCTAACTGCAATATTATGTATAGTATTTCCCATGTCGTCACAGTAACTTAAATTGGTATTTATATTCTAATATGTATTAACTCGAAATATCATATATTCATGTTGTTTATGGATTGGTCAACGTTTTCAACGTTCTCTTATAATTTTATGCGAAACATCACCGAATCACTTTAATGAAGATAGTCGTTGGAGATATAATGATCGGTATTTTTTGCTCTTGTTGCCGATCAGTTTGTTTTATTTTTAACTTGTTTAATGTAATTTAGAAACATTCTCCATTTCGTCTTAAGTTTATATTCAGAGTGAAATATGTATTACCTTTTTTGATACGTTGATGTTCGTCTTTTGTACGTACTTTCATCTCTATATATTATCAAATTATTTCTGGGACTCCACTATCACCTAACAATTTCGGGTAATTATTTACCAGAATGTGCTTTCAATAGTCTCGTTTTCAGTATACTGCATATTTATTACATAGTTTATTGTTACTCAGGAAAGTAAAGATGTGTTGAATTTGGTAGTTAGATTTCTTCGTGCAGAATGACTATGGTCATTTTAAATGATAGTAGATGTTTAATGAACTCCTATTGTTTATAAAAGGCTTTGTTTTCATATTCCAGGGTTCCGAGCTTCAACTGCCTTTCCAAGCGTGCCTAAAAGTCGAGAAGTTTGGAGATCTCATATTAAAGGCATCAGAGCCACAAATGGTCTTATTCAATTTATATGATGATTGGCTCAAATCTATTAGCTCTTACACAGCATTTTCACGTCTGATTTTAATTTTACGAGCTTTGCATGTCAATAATGATAAAGCTAAAATTGTGCTTAAACCGGACAAAACAACAATTACTGAACCCCATCATATTTGGCCATCCCTTAGTTCAGATGATTGGATCAAAGTAGAATATCAGCTGAAAGACCTTATTTTAGCTGACTATGGAAAGAAAAACAAGTAAGTTTCTATTATTAACTATTTCAAGTCAAATCACTGAAGTAAGAAGTTATTGTACAAGTTTTTCTATGATGATACAGTATTTAGAGTCCAAAAACCGTTCAAAGATTTTCTATATTGATTTTGCGATCATTTGTATTGATTCAACGATTACAAGTTGTAATATTCATACTAAGTAACAATACATAACTAGTGACTGAATATGGTTTGCTGTTCGACTGAATCTGTTACACTGGTCTACAGTTTATAATCGTCGGAAAAAAGTTACATGGTAATCTAAAACACATTGCTTCATTCAGTGGGCCTATTTGGCGGTGTTGTAAATCATTTGCCCATAAAATGGCGACATAGTGACCACAGTTTTCGACTAAGTAGTGCTAAATTGTACCATGGACTAGCATAATGCTCCGTTTTACATCTATCGATGAACTCACTAAACTTTTTATATCATTTTTCTATTTTCCTAATGTACGTGTTCAGAATATACTAATTACTTAAGGATTCCGCAAAAATATATATAAGAAATTTCCTCTTAAATTTGTAGACATGGTGGGATCATTCGGTTCCACAGTCGAGATTAAAATCACTATAGTTATCATAGGTGATACATATAGTTGCATTACATCTAGACCTACATAGATTGAAATTTCATAACGAGGAAACTTTATTTCACTTTTTAGTGTTAATGTGGCTTCCTTAACTCAGTCGGAGATACGAGATATTATTTTGGGTATGGAGATTTCTGCTCCGTCACAACAACGTCAGCAAATAGCGGAAATTGAAAAACAGGCCAAAGAACAATCCCAGCTTACGGCAACCACAACAAGAACTGTCAACAAACATGGTGATGAAATCATCTCAACCACAACATCAAACTATGAAACTCTCCATTTCAGCAGTAAGACGGAATGGCGCGTTCGTGCTATCTCAGCAACGAATTTGTACCTTCGGACAAACAATATATATGTCAGTTCGGATGATATTAAAGAGAATGGCTACACATATATTTTACCTAAAAATATTTTGAAGAAATTTATAACCATATCAGATTTACGAACTCAAGTAAGTTTTCATTTTTGTAGGTTATATGAAACAGGATTATACATTTAATTCATTCAAGCTAATTGGGTTTTTTTATTTAATTTAGATTGCAGGCTACTTATATGGTATTTCACCTGCTGATAATTCCCAAATTAAAGAAATCCGATGCATTGTAATGCCACCGCAATGGGGTACTCATCAAACTGTTCATCTACCCAATGGTCTACCACAAGATGAGTATTTAAAAGAAATGGAGCCACTTGGTTGGATTCACACTCAACCAAATGAATTACCGCAGTTATCACCTCAAGTAAGTTTTATTTGGCATTTGGGTAATAATTCTCCATCTAACAATATTGAAAATTGTGTTGATGCATACGACCTTACTCTTATTACTCTGTCCATATTGATTCTCATAATCTTAGTAAGCAAGAGTATGGTTTTCTGTATGCGCCATTTTAATTAATAGGTGACAAGGTTGTATGTAGGTGACTTATTTGAAAAGTACGTTTAATATTCCGCTATTTTTATGTATGATACTTAATCAAGGATTTGTTTGGCTATGTTTTTACGTCCTGATTTAAACTCTTTTATAATCCTGAATTCTTACAGCTTCCACATGGAGGCATGTTTTAATATCTGGGCTACCTGTTTCTGCCATCTAAATATTTCAACAAGTTGTCTGTTCTTTATTTTGTCTTAACACCTTATTATGTCTATTAATTGCATAACTTATTCGGGCGCGTTTATGAAAAGTTTACGACCTTTCACTGTACAAGTTACAAAAAAGTACAATCAGTGACATGGTGGTTTGCAATATGCATTGAAGAGAATCGACATTAATCATATCTCGATTCCTGAGCTACTAAATTCTAACTGCCTTTCACCAATTAACAAGGTGGACTATCTTCAATTCCTACAAAGTCAAAACATATATCGTTATTGTGGTGTTATCACTATTCCAGAATCTTGATTAACTGATTTCCAGGACAATTGCTTAGTATCACTACGTGATTTCAATATCTGTCGTCAGGATCGATCAAGAAATAAAAAAGGTGTGGCGACGGTGTAGCTACGTTTGTAAACATGAACTGGTGTCGATCTACTTTTATATGTTTTAAGTTTTCAAATGACTTTATCGATTATTTAACTTTAAAAAGCCATTCAAAACACTTGAATAAATACAAATATGTTTATGTTACTAACATCTACGTGACTCCAAACTGCAGTATCTGTTTCCTCTGATGAATTCACTGAATTTGTTGTTACTGCCATCAGTGGTTCACTTTCAATTGTATGTAGTGATTTTAATTCACGTAACTGTAGCCTTCTTCCATCACTAGATCACCAAAACGCAGTAGATTTTCCCATTCGTTTGGATGCCCATTTAAACTTAGTTTTCATCAATGATGTAAAAATATATGTAACTCGTAAACATGCTCCGTCGTCTATTTCTGATCATTGTATAATTTGTGTTTTCTACCTGAGGTATATATAGTAAGCATTGAAAGAGTACATTCTTACATCAGATAAAGAAAGTCAAATACAGCAATCGCTCAGAAGAAAATATCAAAAATCTGAAAAATATGTTTCACACGACTAATTGGGGATTATTTACAGATGACTTATTGAGAAACACCGTTGATATTATCAATTGTTATCTTAACTTCTGTTTTGATAGCTGATGTCCCACTGAAACTATTTTTGTAAGTTTTGAGCGACTTATATCTCCACAACTAAAACAATTACGGAGGGTAAAAGAAAGAATGTACAATGAGAAAATCTTCATTGAAGTTCGTAAGCTAAATGGTCTAATAAGCCAAGAAATTATACGTTTGAACTCGTTATTTACCCGGAAACTCATATCTTGTAAAAACTCGAGTATGTGGAAACTCTTTAAAGAACTTACAGGTGACGGGCACACTAGGAGCGAGAACTAGCTGAATGTTTGTGACTTAAATAAGTCTTTTGTACGTCAGTCATCTGATGTCATGCTCTCTATATCCACAGGTTTGAAGAGTAGTTGTGTTCTTATTTTCACTGAAACTGATGTCCGAAAATATTTCCTGTCACGTAGTTCGTCCTAATGTTTAGGACCTGATGAAATCCCAAAACTACTGCTTTTGATTTCATCCCAAGACAACCGCTACTTAACAAGTTAGTCAACGTCAACACTGACACCTGGGTAACCAACTGACTATCTTCCTACCTCTCTGGAAGAGAACAGTACACTATGTTTGGAGGAAAGTGTTCAACGTCTCTACTATCCCATAAAAGTGCCACAAGAAGCTCTTTTTTCTGCACGATCTGCTATCTCCCATAGAAAACACTTGTTAAATATGCGGATGATCTCACCTTTTTACATCCCATTGAAATGAATGAGTTTTCGTCTCGAGTTGATTGGTGGTCTGTTGTGAATGGTCTCATACTTAATCCATCTAAATGTCAAACTGTTAACTTAAGCCTGAGACATGAATAGCACCTAAACTCTCTGTTGGAATCCCATAAATCTTGCACTATTGGAGATTCTTTAATAACACAGTGTCAAAAGTAATTTACCTTGATGTAAGTCATTCCTCTCTCTCTCTGGGTGTTCTCATGTTTTACCTTTATCGAAGGAAGTTTTCCGCCTGACTTACTACATAAAGAGGCTGCATGCTTTTGGCATTACTCCCACAATTTGTCAATTCTTGCAAATTACCCATTATTCTTTCCCGGGTTTTTGAGAAAAGACTGAAAGCAGTTAGCAGGGTGTGTTGAATCTTTTGAGGTCATTGTTAATATAGTTGTGAATATACATCTAAAGCCTTGACCAACTCCAGGCAGGTATTATCTTATCAGATACTAACCATCTACTTCATTCATATCTTTCTCCTTGTAATCTGGTAGAACGAGACGTCAATACATTAAAATCCATGCTCAATACCTTATCTAGCAAATATACTATGTGACGAACAGGTTGTTACAGTTGACCTAGTCAATAACCTGTATTCGTAAACATGTTTTTAATTGGAAAGTTGTACAGATTCAAGTCTTTTTTCGGTAAAAGGGACTTCTTGAAATACCTTGTGCTGAGAATTCTATATTGTACCAAAATATAATATTGAATAAAATTATTAATAATAATAATAATAACTTTTTCCTATGTAGGATATTACTACCCATGCAAAGATCTTCTCTGATCAAGATGGAGAAAAGACCATCGTCATAACATGCAGCTTCACTCCTGGTTCGGTCTCACTTTGTGCACATAAACTGACTCCTGGTGGCTATGAATGGGGTAGGCAAAATACTGACAAAGGTAACAATCCAAAGGGTTATATGCCAAGCCATTATGAAAGAGTACAAATGTTACTATCTGATAGATTTTTGGGTTTCTTTATGGTGCCGCCTCAGACATCATGGAACTACAACTTTATGGGTAGGTTATCAGCAAAGTTTTGGAATGATACTAAATTTCATTTTTATCTGCTTCATTCAGTATGTGTGATCAACTGATATTTTATGACTGATTTCGATTGGTATGCTAATCTCATGTGAAGCGATGGCTTAGTAGTTAATGCGTTCGACTTTCGACCGCTAAGTCTCAGGTTAAAACTCCCTCTACTTTCGGTTTGAGCAACCGAGAAGTATCATTACCCTCATACCTAGAGTGTGGTTCATACCTAAGTACCTAACAAACGAGTTTACTCAAATTTTTAAAATTAGTCTTATTACCGATAATATTTCCATTTCTTTTCATTTAATAGGTGTACGTCATGATCCTAATATGAAGTACGAACTACAACCTCTCAAACCGAAGAAATTTTATCACCGTATCCATAGACCTTCACACTTTTTGAACTTTACATCTATTGAAGAGAATGAACTAACTTTAACTGACAGAGATAACCCCTTGGCATAAGTTGAGTTTTATCACCGTATTTTGAGTCTACTTTATTTCCATTTTGTACATTAATCCTTGCGATTTCTCTTCTCCTCCTCACTGTACTTTTACATAAATTTATTCGAACGAAAATTTCTATTCTCTTGTAATTTGATAAATGGGGTGGATTAAGCAATCAAAAGGAACGCTCTTTTAAAACGAAAATAATCAGGTCATAAAAACCAAGCATACACAAAATAGTTAAATATTGGACGCTTCAATATTGTTCCATCCAGTTTTAAGTTGTTTCATTGCAATCTTTACTCACTAATTTCTCTTGTCGATGAACATATTATCGAAAGTTTGTTTCCCTTCACGAGTCGAACTGGCTGTCAATAGACTTCATAGTTGTGTATTTATATTCTTTAATCCCATTGGTTCTTGAACATGCAAGACAAACTTTGTAGTTTTTCGTTAATCACAACATTCTTAACAATTGTAAGTTGCGAATTTATTACCAAATCTGTCAAAGGAATTGGATCGTCAGAAAACTTGGGACCTGTCTAACGATCGTATCTCGAGTCAGAGCCCTAATCTACTCACCAAGGTCTTAGCAAACGTTCTGGAGCTATATTTTTGTTTTCCTAACTCAGTGATATTATTTTCCTTCATATTTAATGAACTGGTTAGTGAGTACCAATCTACAAATAGTTTTCCAAGTAGTTGAAGCGTTTCTCGATAATGGGTTTGTTTACGGGATGACATGAAAAGTCCAATTCACGTATAGTGTCATCATGTAACTGCAAGTACAGGCATTTTAGTGATAATATGTACTCAAAACTGTCAATGCTTCTCAGGGTCATTGGTCCGCAACCATGATTTTATCCCGCTATAGGGAAATACGGTCTAGTTTCCCACAAAACTATTTCAATGCTTAAGCGAGCGAATTATAGGATAGGACGTCTTATGATTGTTGAAATGATACCTTTCTGGTGTAGAAAACCTTTTATCCGATATTTATAGGAAATTATTCTTGTGTTACCGAAAGTTCCATGTGATAACATTTGCTGAAATCCTCACAAAGTAGTTCATTTTACAGCAGTGAAACAAGTCAACTATCAGAACAGTATAGGAAGAGAAAGCTAGTAATAATACCTCAACATTGCTTTCTTCGTAGCTCTACCATATACACAATGACTTGTGAACACTTCTGGCCGAGTACCTATAAATTTCCTACATGGAGTAAGTTGGTAAGTGGGCTGTCTTATGTATCTGAAATGCACCATTATCAGGCTTGGGAGTGTGGGTTATCTCAAAACTTATTATTCGTGAAATACTTGTCGTCAGTAACAGGAAGATTTGATGACATAAAGACTTCATGTGAATTATGTGATAAAGCGAGCTTTAACTACATGTCAGAAGTTGTAAATTCTTTGATATGATGATTTTAAATGATAAAGTAAGAAACAAACGATTTTACCCAGATATAGGGTTAAAGTAACGTCATTAGAAAATATACCTTGACCAGATAAATGATTCAGTAAATTAATAATTAAAGTCGAAGAAAATGTATCAAGGTAATTACCATCTGTCTCAAATGTAACTGCTTCGTTTGACTACCGACCAACAATCCACTGAAATACTATTACCAGAACATGAGTAGATGGAAGTCGTTTGTTATATAATTTAAAAGATTCATTCTTGAAGAGCTTTTTACTCCGTTGGTATTCATGACAAAATCACATCAGGCATCTGTTAAAGATAAATGTCATCATAATTGAACAATTTACAGTATTTTCTCCAAAGAAAATCTTCAGTTCTCTCAATCGTCAAAAACACGTTAATCGTCGAGCAAAAACCTATTTTGATTCTGACTGGTCACCTTGAAGATCGTTCAGGAACGGTTCGTCTTTATAGTTTTACCCAATCCATAGGCTACCTGGTTTTATTTTAGGTACACACTTCCATACCTAAATTCAACTAAGTGTTCGAAAGACAAGAAAATCAACTTATACTTAAAAGATAAAGGAAGCTGTTTATGATATTCTTCATCTCACAGATATTCTAATGTTAGCCTGCCGGTGATAATGTAGAAGTTATACAAAAGACCGGCAATGACAACCCCACAGTAATACTGCGTGATGGTAGTGTCCAAGACAAAAACTTTTCACCTGAATACAAATTCGTCAGTAGTAGATCGACATATCCTAAACTTTGTTGTTTTCACTGATATTGGAATCACGTAACTAGTTCTCTCAATAATGAAATGTAACCTGCTTGGTTACAGTCATTTTACTACATAATACTGAATCGGATAACACGCGAATCCTTGATTCCAGGATTTTATAGTTTGGATATTAATCTTAATCCTGGTAGTTTCACTAGCAATTTATCTAACTTGGATTGTTTTCCACCATGTTCGCTGATATACCCTAAAGCACATAATGGTGTAAGATAAAAAGCTGATTCTTGCTAACATTTTCGAGCATATCTGACAAATAAAGTTAAAAAAGTTCACATGAATTCAAAAATGCTATCGTCCGTCATTTGATACTTAACTGATATGACATTTGACGTTTCTTAGCAAACAATAAGTTAAAGAGCCTATACTTATAAAGTTTCATTGAAGCTAATGTCAAAAGTCACATAACATTGACGATCTCAATTTCGGTCATCCATTTGTCCAATATTTAATGTATTTTATTCTTAAGATCTTTACGGAAATCTTTTTTCCGTTTCTTATTTTAAACCCTTTTATTACTTGGCGAGTCATTCTGATTCAAAAAATTGTAATTCACGACATTTATTTTTATTTTTCAGAAACTTTTAGTCTACATACATCTTTGATTTTCATCGTTTTGATTTAAAACATTACGTAAATAATCAGCCTTGTAAAAGATCGTCACAAACTTTGACTCTGAATAACTTGGAATCATCTCACCATTGTTTCAATCAATATTTTTTTACAACGTGGTAAAGGTATTCTTTTTTTCAAATAACTGGTGAAGATGTTTTAGAATTTAGGCAACTCAAGAGAACCAACAGAACAAACGGGATTATATTATTCGATTTCTTGGGTTGTGCATGGAAATGTCTGATAAATCCTATTCTAAGACGAAACGGTTGTCCAGTAATCCCTGATTTTAGTGATTTTCTAACTGAAAAAGCTCTCGTGTAAACTACGATATTCTGCTATGATTGTTGTTCTTGGTCTGTAAGGTTTTGAAACTAATTTTATAGGTGGGTCGATAAATGAATGGCCAATTTATTGTGTAAACAAAATTCACTTTAATTTATCTTCATTGGTTGTTTTATTCTTCGCATAGTTGCTATGATCTGAAGTTAATCAGTCTCCTTTAGCGTATTTATATTCTGTGCGGATTGCCTCGATATTCCTATTAAGTCATAAGCCTTTTAAGCAGAGTTGGTTGGCGTGTTGCAGTGGAATAAAGGACGCTTGAAATGTTTGTGACTCAGTGACAATATCGAGGCAATCCATAATGAATGTCCACGTGCCAAAAGAGACTGATTAACTTCAATCTTTAAGATCAACAAGAAGGTTCGAACAACCCTTACAAATGAATTAAAATTCACTCTGTCGTACAAGCCAGTATTTAAATACAGTAGGTGAACAAGGTAACTCCGCCTGGAGTCCCTCCGGGGGCTACTGCCGGTTCAAAGCCCGGGTAAAATAGGAGGGTTGGGCATGGGGTTAGCGTCCCCATCCCGTAGAAAACTAACTCGCTAAAAAAACGCTAACCAGAAAAAATTACTCAAACCTAAACTCTGCATTGGGAGTCAGAAGGTCTTCATTTAGAAGAACTATGACGCCTCATGATGAAAGCCGAATTCCTTCGGAAGTTACGAGGCCGATGCCCCTTCTGACAACAAGAGCAACCATTTATTTAGGTACATGGAATGTTCTTACAATGTGGGACACTGGGAGAGCCTTCCAAATCGCTGCAGAAATGAGGAGTTACAACCTAGAGGTGCTTGGGATCAGTGAAACACATTGGACGCAAGTTGGAAAACAGCGACTAACTTCAGGAGAGCTTCTGTTATACTCCGGCCATGAAGAAGAAAATGCTCCACATACACAAGGAGTTGCATTGATGCTGTCCAAACGAGCACAAAAGGCACTTACAAGATGGGAGTCTCATGGACCAAGGATCATCAAAGCCTCCTTCAAAACAAAGAAAGAAGGCATTTCAATGAACATCATCCAATGCTATGCGCCTACCAACGACTACAATGAAGACGCTAAAGATCAATTCTACAATAGGCTGCAGTCAATCGTCGAGAAGTGCCCAACAAAGAACCTGACTATTCTGATGGGAGATCTCAATGCCAAGGTTGGAGTGGACAACACTGGATATGAAGACGTCATGGGACGACACGGACTGGGAGAAAGAAACGAAAATGGTGAGAGATTTGCAAACCTATGTGCCTTCAATAAACTGGTCATAGGCGGCACCATATTCCCACATAAGCGCATTCACAAAGCCACATGGACTTCACCGGATCACACTACGCAGAACCAAATCGACCATATTTGCATCAACAAAAAGTTCAGGAGGACGTGAGAACCAAGAGAGGAGCTGATATAGCATCAGACCATCACTTGCTGGTCACCAAGATGAAATTGAAACTCAAGAAGCACTGGACAATGGGGAGGACAATATCACAAAAGTTCAATACGGCCTTTCTTCAAGATACTGACAAACTCAACAAATTCAAGATATTCCTCAGCAATAAGTTCCAGGCCTTTCATGATCTACTCAATGGAGAAGAAACTACTATGGAGAACAACTGGAAATGGATAAAAGAGGCAACCACCTCAACATGTCATGAGGTCCTGGGTCACAAGAAGCACCATCACAAGGAATGGATTACTGTTGATACACTGGATAAGATTCAAGAAAGAAGGAACAAGAAGGCAGCAATCAATACCAGTCGAACAAGAGCAGAAAAAGCCAAGGCACAAGCTGAATATACAGAAGTAAACAAGCAAGTGAAGAGGAGCATCAGAACCGACAAACGTAAATATGTACAAGATTTAGCAACGACGGCGGAAAAGGCTGCAAGAGAAGGAAACATGAGACAACTGTATGATATAACAAAGAAACTCTCTGGAAATCGCCGCAAACCA